AACCAATGAATGCATCAATAAGTGGAACAACAAATTGATGTTTCTTTCTCCCTACCTCTCTCTAAAAATAAATAAATAAATACATTTTAAAAAATAAAGTCAATTTATCATCAAATTTTCAGCAAAATATTGGTTAAAATATTAATTTAAATTAGTAAAATTTAAATTAAGACCAAAAAAGCTAGGAGCAACTTCTCATGATATAGGAGTGGACACATGTTATCTTCAGAAAGAAAGGCAAATGTAATACATAGCTTTCCAATGTTAAAAGTGGATTTGCATTCGTTATAGTGATTTGTTTGAACTTAGTAATTGTACCAATTACAAGCAAAACAACAATTTTGCATGATGTCTATGTAGTTGAGACAAAGTAAGCTTGAGGGGGAAAAATGCATTCTAAGTAACAACTACCGTCTCCCGTCAATCCTAACACTAAAACCAGCAAAAAGATATTGCGATCAAATGTTTTCACTGTAAATTCTTTATAACTAAGCAGGTATTGGCTCATGAATAGACAGCCTGATGGAACAAAATGGGAAATCGAGACAGACCCAATGATGGAAGGAAATGTAGTGGACGCTGCAGGCAGCCACCTGAACCAGTGAGGAAAAATGGACTCTTTAATCAATTTGTTGGGATAATGAACAGAGTATAGAAAAGGATAAAATGAATCCATTCCTTATATTCTTTACTGTAAGAAATGAAACCATAAAATCATGAGCAGAGAATATGGATGAATTTGTCTATAACCTACAAGAGTGGGAACATCCCTCATTAAAAAGACACTAAAATAAATGGCCCAGGGGAAGAACAGATAGTTCCCATCGGACGAGGCGCATGGCGACACCTAGCACGGTGCACAGGCACTATCTCTGACTCAGCAGTCCCGCCGCTGAAGCTTTCCCGTGGGTACAATGGGGAAGTACAAAAAGGCAAGTCCTTGTTAATCCCCTAGGACCGGAGAAAGCCCCAATGCCCACCAACAGGGGGCAGACTGAATCAACTGGGTCTGCCACACGCCAGAGCAGCATGTAGGAGCAACGAGGAACATGCATCAACCTACCAAGTGGGCTCCTAACACACTGTTCTGTAAAAAGCCAAGAGAGAAAGAGATAAAAATAGTCACATATTTGTTTATATTTTTGTTTAAAAATGAAAGGATACACCATAAAAACCTATGGGGGAAGGAGTCAGGATATAAGCTCTTTGAATATACCTTATTGTATCGATCTGACTTGGAACCCTTTAAATATTTACATAACAAAATATGAAATAAAGCAATTTCTAAAAATCAAAAGTAAAATGAAACAAGTTAATCTAACTGTATGTCCCGGTGGTGCATAACCACATGGAAGGGGATTACTCCAAATGACCTAACACACAGTAAGGTGACGGACACTCCCATACCACCCGAAGGACAAAAGAACCACCAACAATCGGACTTTTCTCAGTAACCACATGTGGGAGCCGCAGTGTCAGCATCATTCTGTTCTGTGTGCTGTGGGACAAATCAAAGGAACCAGTGTGCTGGGTGGCCGTTAGGGAGATTTCGGCGTGGCTGGAAGGAGATTCAGTTACACAGGTAGATAAGGTCAGTGTCTCGCAGCCCTGACCTGGTTCTATCGACATGACCTCATACTGGATCTCATCTTTAAACAATGCAGACTTCTGCGCTGGCCGGGTGGCTCAGTGGGTTGGAGCATCATCCATACAACAAAATGTGGTGAGTTCGATTCCCAGTCAGGGCACACGTGGGAGGCAATCCATTGATGTTTATCTCTCACATCGATGTTTCTCTCTCTCTTTCTCTCTTCCTTCCTCTCTCTAAAAGCAATAAAATAAAATAAAATACATTTTAAAAACCACCTTCTAAGCTCTGTCTACTTGTCTACTCTAGAAACAATGGACAGCAGGCTCCTCCGGCACCCAGCCTACGGTCTGTAAACCGCAGGGCTCCTTGGCGACATGGGAACCAGATCTAGGGCAGGAAACGTGCCAGGTGGGCTTGCAGCACCTCGCCACACCCGAAGGCAAGGAAGCTGTCAAAGCACAGGGTCAGGGACGGGGACTCATCCTTCAACCTGAGTAAACTCCCACCAAGTGCAGATGGCTGGGAATACACTGTATATATTACAATCCATGATTCAAATTATAATGTTAAAAAGTCACTTCCGGAAGACAGAGGGATCACCTTATTGAAAACCTTCTCCTCCTGCCCAAATAGAGGCATTTCTCTTCCTCCAGGAACTACAGCTCAAACATGAAGGAGGGACAGAGAATGTTGCCCCTAGCTTGTATGATTTAAAAATGTAGGCAGGCCCTAGCCAGTGTGGCTCAGGGGATAGAGCATCAGCTTGTGGACTGAAGGGTCCCAGGTTCATTCCGGCCAAGGGTACACGCCCAGGGTGCAGGCTCAATCCCCAGTGGGGGACTTGCAGAAGGCAGCCGATCAACAATTCTCTCTCATCATTGATGCCCACACCCTGGGGGGAGCCCCCCACACCTGCACATCACACACCTGCCCACACCCTGGGGGGAGCCCCCCACACCTGCACATCACACACCTGCCCACACCCTGGGGGGAGCCCCCCACACCTGCACATCACACACCTGCCCACACCCTGGGGGGAGCCCCCCACACCTGCACATCACACACCTGCCCACACCCTGGGGGGAGCCCCCCACACCTGCACATCACACACCTGCCCACACCCTGGGGGGAGCCCCCCACACCTGCACATCACACACCTGCCCACACCCTGGGGGGAGCCCCCCACACCTGCACATCACACACCTGCCCACACCCTGGGGGGAGCCCCCCACACCTGCACATCACACACCTGCCCACACCCTGGGGGGAGCCCCCCACACCTGCACATCACACACCTGCCCACACCCTGGGGGGAGCCCCCCACACCTGCACATCACACACCTGCCCACACCCTGGGGGGAGCCCCCCACACCTGCACATCACACACCTGCCCACACCCTGGGGGGAGCCCCCCACACCTGCACATCACACACCTGCCCACACCCTGGGGGGAGCCCCCCACACCTGCACATCACACACCTGCCCACACCCTGGGGGGAGCCCCCCACACCTGCACATCACACACCTGCCCACACCCTGGGGGGAGCCCCCCACACCTGCACATCACACACCTGCCCACACCCTGGGGGGAGCCCCCCACACCTGCACATCACACACCTGCCCACACCCTGGGGGGAGCCCCCCACACCTGCACATCACACACCTGCCCACACCCTGGGGGGAGCCCCCCACACCTGCACATCACACACCTGCCCACACCCTGGGGGGAGCCCCCCACACCTGCACATCACACACCTGCCCACACCCTGGGGGGAGCCCCCCACACCTGCACATCACACACCTGCCCACACCCTGGGGGGAGCCCCCCACACCTGCACATCACACACCTGCCCACACCCTGGGGGGAGCCCCCCACACCTGCACATCACACACCTGCCCACACCCTGGGGGGAGCCCCCCACACCTGCACATCACACACCTGCCCACACCCTGGGGGGAGCCCCCCACACCTGCACATCACACACCTGCCCACACCCTGGGGGGAGCCCCCCACACCTGCACATCACACACCTGCCCACACCCAGAGGGGAGCCCCCCACACCTGCATGTCACACACATGCCCACACCCTGAGGGGAGCCCCTCACACCTGCACCTCACACACCTGCCCACACCTGGGGGGAGCCCCCCACACCTGCATATCACACACATGCCCACACCCTGAGGGGAGCCCCTCACACCTGCATGTCACACACATGCCCATACCCCGAGGGGAGCCCCCCACACCTGCACATCACACACCTGCCCACACCCTGGGGGGAGCCTCCACAGCTGCACCTCACACACCTGCCCACACCGTGAGGGGAGGCTCCACAGCTGAAGTAAACATCACAGGTTGCCAGTGAAGTCAGTAGCTCTGATTCTTAACTTCTGCATGGCAGGGCAGAGAATTAGGAAGACCGTACAAAACCCCCAAAGCCCTCTCAAGGCACTGGCTACTAGATCCTTCTTGCTGGGATGAAATCTCAGTCAATTAAGAGAAAATTATGTCAGTAACACTGAGGTCTTCGCATCTGAAAAGACCTATCGGTGAGCTACCTCAAATCCTTTTGAAAATGAAGAGCAAAAACAATCAACTGACACACCCACGCACTAGAGGAAATCTTACCTGGAAGGCTTACAGACTTTTATTTTTATAGTTATTTACTTAAAGGAATCTTCTCCCCAGAGCAAATTCTGGCTCCATGTCAACACAACATAAAACTAAAGAACAAATAAAACACAGACTCACAGATACAGAGGCAGACTGAGTGTTGTCAGATGGGAGGGGGGCTAGGGGACTTGAAAAAGGTGAAGGGATTGAGAAGTACAGATTGGCAGTTAGAAAACAGTCACAGGGATGTAACGTACAGCACAGGGAATACAGTCAATAATACTATAATAACTATGTACGCTGCCAGGGGGGTATTTGAAATATCAGGGGTCTACTTTGTAAAGTACATAGCTGTCTAACCTCTATGCTGTACACGTGAAACTAATCTTCACTAATAAAAGAGAAAGATGCAAACTGACC